CTGGGTCTTGACTTCCTCTTCTGCGGACAACAGGCGCAATAATCCGACTGTGGGAGAGTTTACCTGGGGATGTGTGTGTCTGCTTGGTGTCTTCTGAATGCTCGAGAGGCCCTTCCCAGCCTGCCAGGATTGAGTGGCAGGTGGCAGAAGCTCAAGGCACCCAGGCTCCCTGTCCCTCAAGCCTCAAGGGAAGAAAGGAGGCAGAATTTGAGAGCAGAGCTGCTCCATCCCTGGGCCCTATTCCCGCAGCTCTTCCCCAGCCTTCTGTGTTGGTGCAATCCTCAGGCCACACTGAGGCAAAGTGGTCCTCATGCCTCCGGTTTCCAGGCCACATATTTAGGGAAGGGGTCTCCTCTCACCTGGCCCAGCCCAAGGCCTGGATTACCCTCAAGGACAACCTGGGGCTGCATGCCCATTCTGACCCTGTGACAGTGACCGAGTCAGGGGGATGCCCCTTTATCTGAGCAGTCCTGGGCCTCTCCCTGGAGCCAGGAGTTTCAAGGTAGGGTTCTTTCTCAGGAACACCACAAGAAACCCTGAGGAGCCCCCTCATCCTATCTGCTTCCTTCTCACCTGGCCCCCACCTGCTCCCGGCCACTCAGGGAGGACAGTCCCTCTTCCCCTGGAGAGGTTCCTCGGTGGAAGTGCTTTTAAGCCAAACCGCTTTGCCCAGTTAGGTGCTTGGGAGCTGGCAGGAGGCAGAGGGGGGTTGTTGACTTCTCTTTCCTTAAAGACTTTTAGCACCGAAACGTGTGATAAAAGTAACTGTGTAATTAGGAATTAATCTCTCACTCTTGAAAGCGATGTCTTACTTGGGGCCTGAGGGAAGTCAGCCCCGTGGTTACTCACCCACTCAGCAGCTTGTTAGGAGCTAGGACCAGGGGCTCAGAGACCACTTTCCTGGTGACAGGAGGAGGGGATGGCTTTTAGCACAGAGTGGGTGGGGTTATTCACAATAGGTTGAGTGTCTCCAGGGTGTAGGCAGCAGGTGAAGCTGGCCATGAAGGTCAGAGGCATGCCTAGTGCCACACTGTGTTTGGGGGTGGCTGCAGGTGCTGTTGCTGTTGGCCCACCTCCCTGCACCCTGTTCTGGGAATAGAACCCAGGGCTTTGCACATGGTAGGCAAGCTCTCTGCCCCTGTGCTGCAGCCCAGCCTTGCTGCTCCAGCTCCCAGATGTCTCTGTGTTCTCTTGGGGCTCCTGGACCGCCCTGTTACTACTTTCCCCCTCTTTTCATCTTTCCTGGATCAGTTCTTGAGTGAATGAGCAGTCTGAGTCTTCGACTCAGAAGAGGGGACTCCATCCCTGCTAGGAAGTGTGGGCTTGTGAGGAGGCAGAACAGGGGGTGATGGTGCAGAGAGAGAAGAGCCGTTAAGAAGACAGAAAGGAGGGGAGTGAGGTGTTTGCCTAAGGTGTCCTTGAACCTTGCTTGGCACCTAGGGCACTGAAGGTAGGAGCAGGGAAGAGGGGCAAGGCCAGCCTGGGGACAGCCTTAAAGGCTGTGGTCAGGAGTCTGACCTTTTTTCTGAGAGCAATGGGAGCCATGGAAGGTTTTAGGGAAGCACAGCTCCACTGGAGACTTAGATTTGCGATGTGGCTGGGCTGGGGGGAGGGGAAAGCAGGAGACAGGAGAACAGGAGGGAGGCTGTCACAGCTGTCAGAAGACAGGGACAGTGACGTAGTATCAGCAGGGATGGTAGAGATGGCAGCAGCTGTCCCAGGTTGGACTTGCTGGTGCAAGAGTCTCTGTCAGGATGGTGAGGTTCCTAGGGCAGAAACTTAAACTCATAGCCCGTGTCTCCCAGTCAAGTGTTCTTCCCTGTCCCTCCCACACATGTCCAACATCCTTTTGGTCATGTTCCGCTCTGGGAAGAATGAAAGCTTCTAGCTTCTCCACTGTGCACCTAATGTGTGCTTCTTATCCCCAAATAAATTTGACTGTACTCCTCCCTGAGACAGGAAACAGCCATAGCAGAATGTTCCAATGGGGTCATGGGGCATAGAAGTCTTAAGAGGAACAAAGCTTTAGTGTTCTGTTCATGTTGTTAAGAACTTGGTAATATCACATTTTCAGTGGGCTGCCAGGAAGCTAGGAATTCAGATTTTGATAATAAATTCTACAAGAACTTTCATGGGGGGGGGGAGTGGAGGGTTTTGTTGTTTGTTTGTTTGTTTGTTTGTTTTGAGAGCCTGAGGGATGCACAGATGGGTCTCAGGAAATTTTGCAGCTCATTGTGAGGGTGTGCTCCTGCCCGAAGCCCTAGAGGGTGAGGTCCAGGGTGGAGGGCAGGGGCTGGGCTAGTGTGCAGCATCTATCTAGGTTTGTTCTGTCTGAGCTTTGAGGGTTCTAATGTGCTTCTGGCTGCAGCTGCTCTGCATCTTCTAGGGAGCCAGAGTGGAGGGGTTTGCTGAGTCTGAGGCCAAGCCTGTGCGTCCCATCAACTTCCCACTGCGAGGAGGTGTTCAGCCTGTTGTTTACTAGCTGGGCCTTGGTGATATCCAGCTGCAGCCCACATGCCATCCAGCATCCAGGCAGCTTGTCTCTTCTCCCTGGTTGTGGGAGACAGTGTCAGAGAACATCCCACCAAGATGCTGAACCTCTCGTGGCAGCCGTATCCCAGGCCCTGTGCTTTGCCCAGTGCTGATCATCCAGGCTGTGGCCCTGGGGGCTCTGGACGGGAAACACTGGAGCACGTGACCTTGTGGGGCCTGGAGTTGGGGACAGGCAGGGGGTGTCCTGAAGACTCCCTTGCTGAGGCTGCTCCAGAGCAGGACTCTCTCCAAGGTTGACAGAGGCAGGTTCAGCATAGTGGCTGCACTCAAATTTGGGGGTGGGAGGGGGCTTAGGCAGATGGATACAAAGAGTCGGCAGGATAGGGCCCAGACAGCCCTCAGACAGCCCCCGATTTTCTGCCTATCTCTACCTCTCAAACTTGCATTTTAAAAAAATGTTTCACAGGGGTAGGAATGGCTCCATGTTCCCTCTGTCCTGAGCTAGGCAGGTGTGCCACCTAGGGTTTTGGGCACAGTCCATGGGAATCTCCTCTCCCACACCCCCAAGCAAAATGTACACAGCACTCCCTCACGACCAGATCCAGAGAACCTGCGTCGGCGGGAAGAGGGTCTGTGGAGTGGGTGAACGCTGCAGGGTGTCTCCCCCTTGCCCGGGGTGTGTATGTGCGTGTGCTCATGTGCCAGAGCAAAAACATGCCAGGGTGAACACCCAAGTGTGTGTGCGTGTGTGTGTGCCAGCATGTGCCGCCCCCACAGTGCCTCCGTCACAAGCGTCCCCCAGCTGCTGGGAGAGCTCTTTCTACACAATATGAAAATGACAGTTTGGTTCTCCCACGCATGGAATCCTCACGCGGCCTGCTCCCTACTGCCTGCTCAGGGCCTCTCTTGTTCTCCCCCACGGCCAGGTCTCAGCCTTACCCTCTCTGCTGGCCTTTCCTTCTTCTCCCTTCTTCTTCCTCTCCTCAAATCTTTGTCTGTGACTCTAATCTCTGTCACTGTTTTTGAGGTCACCCCTCTCTAAATTTAGGCTAAAGCAGGAGCGCGTGTGTCTGAGGGTGTCCATATGCGAGTGTGTGCGTAGATGAGCAAGCTCAGGTGTGTACGCGTGGGGGTCGTGTGCACAGAGTGGAGCCTGCCAGAGAGCTAGGTGTGGACAGAGCCGGGAATGGACTGGGGCATCTCAGGTGAGGCAGCTTTCGCTCAATTACTCCTCCAGCGACAGGAGGGGGCGGTGGCTCACAACAGTTGGACAGGTTTATTGGGTGTGTAGGAAAGCCTTCATTTCCCACCCACACTGGTGACATATGGAGCCAGCAGCCATGCTGGAGCCAGGGTGAGATGAGGGAGACTCTACTGAGTGACACCTGAGGTCGGTTGTTGAGGGGATCTTTGAGCCAGGGGGAGGATGGTGGTGTCCCAGCAGTTGACATCTGACTGGCGTATAGACCTCTGTGTGGGTCTTCAAGATCTGCTCTGTGTGAGATCTGGGAAGGCTCCCTGGAAGAGGCTACTGCCAGGAAAGCCCTGCAGGGCAAGTGGAATGAGGAGCAGAGCAGAGAGGGGACTAGGGAAGTGTGACGCTCCAAGGCTGTCTCTGTGTGAGTCACCGTGCCCAGCAGGCTTGGGCTTGAGACATTTTGGGTCCATGGTACTGACATTGGTCTGGCGCATTCTGGAATCAGTGTGGAAAAGCTTCTGAGGCTCCAGCGCTGTGTGCGGGAGAACGGCTAGCTCAAGCATGATTTCATCACAGACAAGGGGGTGGCTCCTCCAGGAGGAAGAGACCCCTGAGAAAGGTTTTTGGTTGGCTGAGGAGTGTCTGTGAGCCTGGAATGTGTTTGACCAGTTACAGCGTTCCTCAGCACCCTACGAATACAGAATGCCTGTCATGTCTTGGAGATGCGCCGCCAGATGCCTCGGGCTGCTGTGACGTGGGCAGAGAGGAGGCTGGCCCTGTGCGATGCTTGGCTTTAACCTTCTCTCTCTTACCCTCTTGCTTTCTTACTGGGACTTTGTTTCCCGGCTTGGTGGGTCCCTCTTAGGCCCTTATCTGTGACGGAGGCTTGATAAAGCTACCATTGATGTCAGTGACACCCAGTTTCTATGTGATACCAACCTGAGGTCCCTCAGCTCTCTAGGTTTAATCTGATGGCCAAGCATCCACATTGGAAGAGAAGGGCTGATATAAGTCAGGGGTCAGATGGATAGGGTCTAGAGGGTGGGGGGCCACCTGGCATGGTGCTGACTCTATAGTGGGGACCTGTCTCTGTTTCTTCCACTTCCACTCCTGACTGTACCTGCAGCCTCCCTGTGACAGGTGCGTTGCTGCTGCTAACCCTGCTTACAAGGAGACTGGAACCAATCACAGCTCGATCTTGGTCCCTTTCCTCACTGTTCTAGCGAGCGTGGGTGGCTGGGTGGTCCCACCCTGGGACCTGGTCCTGAGTATTTTCTATACTGTCCCTCATTCTCTCCTTTCTTCATAGGATGGTTGAATACTCTCTGGACCTTCAGAACATCAACCTGTCAGCTATCCGCACTGTGCGTGTCCTGAGGCCCCTCAAAGCCATCAACCGTGTACCCAGTGAGTTGGACCTCTCTGCCCACACATCACTGCCTGCCCAGCTTGCCCTGTTTATTTACTCAGAGAAGATAGATTAGTTCCTTCCTGGGCCAGATCTATGCTCATGGTGCTGGGCAGATATCACGTTGTTCCCACTGAACTCATGGGCCAGCATGTGGTACCCAGAAGTGCTGGGGAGGGGGACTGACTTGATGACTCTGAGTTCTCAAATAACTTGGATTTCAGCACTTGGGAAGTCTGACTGTTCTGGAAGAAAAGGTTACTTGGGGGTGGTTCATACAGACTGTCAAAAGGGGCTTGTGTAAGAAAAGAGATTAGCCTGAGGGAGAATGAGTTTAGTCCTTTGCTGGGAAGCCCGTCATGGCTGGCTTAGAACTTGAATCTGTCACTTACTTACCCATAGGATTGTCTACTCATTTGCACACCCACCTTCCTATCCATTCACACGTTTGTCTATCCATCCACCCACACCCATCCACCCATCCATACAGCCACCCATCCATCCACCCACCCACTCATCCATCCACCCATCCATCCATCCATCCATCCACCCATCTATCCATTCATCCACCCACCCACTCATCTATCTATCCACCCACCTAACTATCCATCCACCCACCCACTCATTTATCCACCCACCTATCCATCCATCCACCCACCCACTCATCTATCTATCCACCCACCCACCTATCCATTCATCCACCCACCCACTCATCTATCTATCCACCCACCTAACTATCCATCCACCCACCCACTCATTTATCCACCCACCTATCCATCCATCCACCCACCCACTCACCTTCTGTTCATCCATTCACCCCTCTACTCACCTGTTCATGAATGCATGCATCCACCTACCCCCACTCACCTACCTACTCACCTATCTATCCAACTGCTACTCATTTACTCATCTATCTATACAGTCATCCTTCTATATGTTCACCCAACCATCTACTCACTTTCTATCCATCCATCCATCATCCATCCATCCATCTATTCATCCATCCATCCATCCATCCATCCACTCACCTATCCACTCATCTGTATCCCTCTACTACCCATCCACCACCTATCTATCTAGTTATCCATCCATCCATCCATCCATCTAGTCATCCATCCATCCATCCATCCATCCATCTATTCATCCATCCATCCATCCATCCATCCATCCATCCACTCACCTATCCACTCATCTGTATCCCTCTACTACCCATCCACCACCTATCTATCTATCTATCTATCTATCTATCTATCTACCAGCTCACACATAAACCTATCTATTCATTTGCCCCACTTTCTGTCTCTCCACCTAGTTATCTATTCACCTATCATAGCCATATACCTGTCCATCCATGCCAAACCCAACTTAAATTGAGAGGTTGCTTGAGGTCTGCTCTATATTGCCCAGTCTGTATTCCCTTGATGTTTTTAACCTTACAATCATTCAAAGAGGAATCTGGTCTATTCTTATTTGGGGGATGAAGAAACAGCCTTGAAGACCTGGTTCCCTGATCAAGGAAGGATGCAACTGCCAGCAAGTAGCAGATGTAGGATGCCTCCTCCACTGCCCTATGTTAGGAGTGGGAAGATAGGGAAGGGAAGGAGGAGGATATAGACTTGGGACTTTCAGATCTGTTTGGGAAGGCCAGGAACTGTTCTTCCTCTCTCATGTCTGTGTGCTTAGTGTACATGTATGTACGTGCATTTGCATGTGTGTGTACATGCCTGCATGCATGGAGGCCTGAGGTTGATGCCAAAGAATTTTCTTTGATCACTTTCTACCTTATTCTTTGAGACAACTTCTTAACTGAACCCAGAGCTCACCAGTTTGCTCTGTTTCTGCCTTCTGAGGGCTAGAATTGCAGGCAGGCTGCCAGGATAGCCTGACTTTTCCATGGATCCTGGGGACTGGAACTCTGGTTTTCATGCTTGAGAGGAAAGCACTTTACCCACTGAGCTGTCTCCTCAACCTGACACAGGGTAGATCTCAGCCATTTCATTCCTAGAACTGTGGAAGGAACCTCTCAAACACGTGGGAGATGCACATGCTCAATAAACACATCTCTGCATCCTCTTGTGCTGCTAAGGCCCAGACAGTGGTGCCTTGGGCCCAGCCAAGCTCAGGATGCAGCATGGGGAAGAGCATCTGAGCTGAGATCCATGAAACCTGGGAATGAACTGGTAGTGGGAAAGACCGGCGAGGCGAAGGGGAGTGGGGCATGGTCAGAGCGAAAGTCTAGAAGTCACTAGCCTCTGCCTGTTGGGGATCCCAGGTACTGGCTGCTGCAGGTGCCAGATAAATATCAGGGAGTGGGGCTGAGGCTGGGGGGGATAGGAGAGGTCATCAGGAGGGTGTTTCAGACATGGCCCTGGCAGGAAGGTGGGGTGAGCTGGTCTGAGAAGCTGCTCCAGTGGCTAGAAAGCGATGGCTAATGCTGGGCAGGGCAGAGGGAGGGAGGAGGTACCCATGAGTCCAGGTCTGAGAGTCATCGGCATTCGCTTTAAAACACTGAGGGCCTCAGCACTGAGATCCCAGAGCAGGGGCCCTCTTTCCTGGCCTCACCTGCAATGTTTCTATTTCTGTCCCGGGGACAGCAGTTGTAGCTGCCTTCTTCTAGACTGTGTTTCTGGCATGGAGCCTACAAGCCTGGTTACTTCAGAGGCGAGGGGCCTGTGGCAGGGTATTCTTATCCATAAGGGCGTTAGTACAGGATCTCACGCCATGGTCTTCGTCAGGCCTGGGATCTGACAACGATGGGGCAGGCATTCGAAGAAATGTTAGTGAACGGGAGAAGGCCCAAAGGGATAGGATGGACATATAGGGGTGGGTCTTTCTCTTGCTGGATGTTTTCTGGACCTCTGTGTGTGGATATGGAGATCTGTATGTATTCCCAGGAGAACATGTATGCACACATGTGAGTGCGTGCAGATGGGTGTGCATGGGAGGAAATGTGTATATGTTATGTCACGGTGTCTGTCCCTCATGGGAGCATCTGTGGAACCTGGGCCACCCTGGATGGCTGTGTACAGAGCTTGTTAAGTGGCTTGGGACTAAGGTGGCTACTCCATGACCCAAGCAGCAGTTTGCCTGTTCTCTGGAGAAGGGCAAGGATCAGTCTTAAGCCCAACATCCCTGTGTTTCTGGAAGTTCCAATTACCGAGGCTCTGTGCACAGATAGCCAAGGGAGGCTGTAGGTCTTTCCGCAGGACCTTCTAACAGCTAATGGCCCCCCTGGGAACCCTCAGAAGCCTGCTCAGCTGACAGTCACCTCTCCCAGAGTCCAGCATTGTGGAGATGCTGAGGGTACGAGCCCCCAGGAGCCAAAATACCACCAGGCTGAGTAAACAGCTATGTTCCTGGGGGAAAAAAAACCTCTCCCTGTCTTCCTTTCCTTCCCCCTCCTCTCTCCCCTCTCTTCCTCATTCTCTTCCTTCTCCTCCTCCTCATTCCCTCTCCTCTCTTCTCTTCCTCCTTCTCCCCCTCCTCCCCTTTCCTCTTTCTTCTCTTTTTCCTCCATCTCTGCCTCCTCCTTTTTATTTTTATTTTGAGACAGGATTTCTCTGCATAGTCCTGGCTTTCCTGGAACTTAGTAGACCAGGCTGTCCTTGAATTCACAGAGTTCCTTCTGCCCCTGCCTCCTGAATGCTGGGATCAAAGGTGCGTACCACCACACCTGGCTTGAACTCACCTTCTTAAGTAAACTCCAGGAATTCATGGCGGTTAGAATATGGAGATCCCCGAAGTCCAACAACTGAGCCCCTCTTTCTGTAGGAAAGCCTTATTTGTCCCTGGTTGCCCTGTGTTTCACGAGGAGTTACCAGGTAATGTGTGACCTGGAGGGGCCTGGACTCATTAGCTATGTCCACCTTGGTATGTGTTCAGCTGTAGCCTGCAGCTCTCTATTTAACCACTAGGTGGCAAGCTAGAGAGCTAGCCCTGGGCAGTCAAATGATTAGTGATTAATTGGGAAATCAGGGAGGGAGGTTACCAGAACCTTTCTAAAGGTAGTGGAGAATAGAATACCAACATGCTCCCAGAAAGACTCAGCTGGAGGTCAGAGAGTATCAGTCCTGTTCTTCACTCTTCTGTGATGTGGGCCTCAGTTTCCCTGCAGGCACAAAGCAGAGGAGCTGAATTAACTGTATGGTTCTCAGCTCTGCACAGGGTTGGTAGAGGACCCAGAAGTCAGGGCTCTCCTCACAGAGTTTTTCCAGTATGTCCCTCAGCTTCTTCTTAGCTCCAGCCCTGGACAGATATGGGGAAGGAGACAGAGGTTAAGGAGAGAGGCCCTGCCTCTGTCTGTGCCTCACCTCAGTAACCACAGTGTTTCCCTGAGCCCCCTTGGTTGAGTCCTTTCAAAGAGAAAGATTGTTTTTTACCTCCAGTTAGAAGCTTGAGCAGTCACCACAGAGCATGGAGCCAGTCCATGCTGTAGCTCGATGTTGCATTCCAAGCGAGGCTGTTGCAAGGGAGTCTGCTTGGAGGACTTTGAGCAACCTCCCGGGTCCTGAGCTGTACCTGGGCTGGCAGGTGCTGGCTCTGTCACAACTCACCTCACCATAAGGGATCCTGGGTGTGCCTGGGCTGTCTGAACAGAATGAAGAAGATGCTTCAAGATGCCCTTGGATGCCGTGAGAGAAACATCGGCAGTGCTGCAGGCACTCGAGCTGCAGGTCTCTCCACTGTACTGTCAGCCCCTGGTTCCGGTTCAGCAAACCCTAGCCCCCTTGTCTTGGAATCCTCCGACTAGAAAGCTGAGTTAATCTTACCAACATCTGTCTTGTGTGGCTGAAATGGCATGGTGTGCTTGGAGAACTTCCTGCAGAATGTCGGGTGTCAGAAGTGATGGGCAGCTTCTGTGATGAGGACCAGGGAGGGGGTCTTGGAGACATCTTAGCAGAGGCTCATCTTAGAAGAGTTCATCCAGGACTCAGAGGTCTCAGGACGTGGGCGGGCATTCCTGCAGAGTGCGATACTGCGACATCCTCGGACTGCTGTG